TGTGTGTGTGTGTGTGTGTGTGTGTGTGTGTGTGTGTGTGTGTGTGTAAACCACTACTACCACCATCCACTCCCAAGTTTTCATTTTAAGGTTGGGTCTAGGATTCCTGTTGAAAGTGACTTTAAGGTATCAATTTTTCGAGAGATGTTGGTCTAATGGCTGTTTAATTTGACTGTTGTAGTGATCTTTTCAAGAATTGAACATACCAAGTTTTATCTGCTCAAGTTGTGAAAGCACACTGCTAGCCACCCAAAGACTGCTCATTTGTGCAGCATGAGCTCTGATTGTCCACAGTCTTCTTGCTGAAGTACCTGTGAGTTTTTTTATGGGTGAGGGGTTTAGTCTCCCTCATTTCACACATGAGGAAGTCCTGGAATGCCAGAGCAATGAAGTTTTTCTGTGAGAAAGAAGACCCAAGGGTAGAGAAGATGTCTTTAGCTTTTATTTTGACTGTATCATGTTTTAATCAAGGGTTTGTATTAACAGGATACTTGAGACCCAGGGCAGCTAGTGGGCATGCTATTGAGTACAGGCACCACAGCCCATCCTGGAGGCAGTCACAGAACATGCCAGGGCAGTGGTACAGAGACAGTCGTCCTCCCTTCACTGCCCCTGGTGGTATATACAGAACATTTCCATGAATAAAACGTTCTTAAACACTCTCCTCATATGCAGATTTAATCATGTGTACAGCCCTTACAATGAAAATGGAGCCAGATGTGGTTCACCATTTATAGCTACGCAGATGGCTCCAAGCATAGATGAGTATAGTAAATTCAAAAGGAATTCCTCATGAAACTCCAGTGGAATGCAGTCCTAAATTTAGAGGGAAGATAGCAGTGGGCTAAATTCAGATTGACTTATGCTGATTTACACTAGTATTTTGTGGGTTTGGAGAAACCAGGCTGCTAAATTGCTCTTAATTTAAACACACACAGCTTGTGATGTTCCTGCCAGATTAGCTGCTGGTGATCTTCTGCAGGGCGCACACTGTTGGAACACTACTGTTTCTGATTGCTGGCATCTGAGGGAATGTATACTTGTCCTGTTTCATCATGCTAAGTTTTTTTCCGGGTGGTACATGTTTTTAATGATAGAAGGTTCACATGGGTATACACACTCACATTCATGCATATGTATTTATTTGGCTAGACACTGAAATTATATATGTTCTTTATTTTTAAGTGAATTTATATAGAAATAATCTGTAGTATTTAAAGTATATGTAATTTGGATTTCATTTAAGTCTAAGTAATTCTACCTTTTATAAAAGTTAGCTTAAGATATTGGCATATCAATTCCATGGTTTTTGTTTTTAAGGACCTATGTGAATTGAGAACACTGATAGAGGAAAACATATCATTTAGAGTGGCTTCTGAAATTCCATTGATTTTCAAGCTGACATTATTTTAAATGCAGTAAAAATATTCAAAATGTGAAATGAATACAGGTTTTTGAAAGTTGTGCCTTTTACAGGAAGTATCTCTTTTGGAATGAAGCCTCAGGCCTAGTTGGCAACAGCATTAAGGGCCATACTCAGGAATACCTTTCGTTTTCACTTACCTCCTCGTCAGTATGAAGCCAGACAGTGTAGATTTTTGTTTCATTTACTGGGTTTAAAATAAGTAGAGGGGTCAGAGCTGAAGGCAACTACCCAGTCACATCAGAGCTGAGGGCGACTACCCAGTCACATCAAGCTTCACAGATAATGGTTTTCTGCTGAGATTCAGATCAAACTAGATTTTCCTGAAGTCTGGCTAGCACCTGGGATGCTATAGAAACATAAATTGCCAGGCCGCTCCCTTTGAAATGTCCCTGAGTGTCAGGGAAGCGAGCTGCCGTAGCATCGTTGTTTGCCATGCTCCGGATTCACTGGATAAAGAGATGGTTGTTTTCTCTCTGTGTAGCATCTAGTTATTCCTGTCCTGTGCTGCCTTCTAGTCTTCTATGCCATGCTCATTAGCAGATTTAAACCATAGCTGATACTATGTTGGGCTGCAGATGTAGCTCAGTTGGTAGAGTACGTTCACAGAGCCCTAGGTTCTATCTCAGCATCACATAACCATGTGTGGTGGTGCACACCGACAGTCGCAGCCCTAGAGAGGTGGGCACCAAGCCATAAGATTCAGGTCATTCTCAGCTACATAGGGAGCTCAAGACCAGCCTGTGCCAGAGACCCTGTCTCAAAAGAACAAAGCACTGTGCTTTTGTTAAGGAACCTATCATAATTCTGTCTTCATAATCTTATCTGTGTTAACAGTCAAATTATTTGTTCTTAGCCTGTTGGATTTATTGCTAGGGTAAAGCTGCCTTTGCATCACTTCTTAGTGTCAGAGTTACCACCATGTGGTTCAGACTCTCCGTTTTCTCAAAATTAAGTGTAGATCAGGTGGGAGATGCACTCTCTCAGTCTTGATGGTCTTGTAAGTAGAGGGGGTCAGTCCTGCCTGTTAGTTGCTGAGGTTTGGAACCGTGGATTCCTCTGGAGTATGTACAGTATCTGAATTCCTTTACTAGTCCACAAAAGCTGCATGTTGCCAACTTTTCTGGCTTTGGAGCTCTAAATTAAGGCCAGTTCCTTTGCTCATCCCACAAACTCTTTTATGTTCCCTAACCGCAGCCTGAGCAAGGCGCCTTGGTTTCAACAGCAGCAGACCAGCATATGTTTACTTAATTCCTAAGACATGATGACAGTGGTCTCTGTGCCACTAAAAGCTTTCTCTTTATTATTTTCGGGTGAAACTGATTTCCCAGCTCTCCTTGCCTGTCACGTGTGTTTTACAGTGCCTTCAGTGCTGCCCATGAAGAACAGTGGAAGTTAAAGGAGCAGCAGATGAAAGTGCAGATTGCTCAGCTCGAAACTGCCTTAAAATCTGATCTTACAGACAGAACCGAAGTCCTTGACAAATTAAAGACTGAAAGAGGTACATAGACATAACCACCCATTCACTTATGCAGACATCTGATGCTTATTTGCTGAGTCAGTCAGTACTTCATGTCTGCCTACTGTTTGCCAGCTGTCCTGCTATCCTCTGGGGACACAACTTGTCTCTGTGCATATTACATAGGTAGATAGATAGATAGATAGATAGATAGATAGATAGATAGATATAAAATTTGTGTATGTGGGGGTATATATATGCCACATATGTAAGCCAAAAGAATTGTTCCTCAGTTCCTTTTATCCAAGTTGTCTTTCATTAGGTTAATATCCCTAAATTCTGATCTTTTCTTTATTTCATAGTCAACAAATATTTATTGAACAGGTGCTCAGCATTGTTCTAAGTTCTGAGGATGCAGCAAATAAAAGACTTACCCTCACAGCACATGGAAGCTGACAGTAGTTAGAGACGTCTGTAATGGTACAGGTAATGGTGGATACACTGGGAAAGAGCCAATGAAAGCTTCTTGCCAGTTTTTGAAAGATCAGACAAGAACAATCTAATTGTGACATGTCTGTATCTATTCTATTAACCAAGATGCTTTGTCAAAATGTCACTGTTAAAAGAAGAATCAGTAAACATAATCATATTAGGTCTTGTCTCATAGAAGTAAAATGCAATTAAAGACATCAGGACTGTTGTATTACACACTGACGCCTGTATACCCAGTGCACACAGACACACAGTGTTGGGTGACAGATTTTATTCTGTGTGTGCACCCATTAGATACACTCAGGAATACAGTAATAAGTTTGCTCCTTTGGAACATTTGCAGTTCAATTATAGGAGAATTTTAGAAGTTTGATATAGCAGGCATGGTGGCACATTCCTCTAATCATAGCACTCAGGAGACAGAGACAGAAGAATTGCAGATTCCAGACCCCCCCGCCTTGGGGTACTTAGCAAGACCCTGTGTCAACAACAACAAAAAAAGTTTAATACAGACATAGTAAGAAAAGATATATTTTTAGTTAGTACTCTTACCACAGGGTGACATTTTATTGAATAAATGGAACATACATTTTCATGTTTAATATTCTTAAAACCAGAGCACATCTATAAACAATAATACTTTAAAACTACTTATATATGATTTTTACATTTCACAAGCCTAAAGTAGGAACACAGAGTCAATAGAGTCTTTATTCCAGTGGCACGGTAGTCAGGATTTATCCACTCAGTGATTAAGTTGACTGATACGTTATATGAGTTTCTCTGGAGGAGTGTGCATAGAGTTAAGTGATTTCTGACCTGGTGGGTTTCTGATTTTAATGTGCACTATCAGGTGCTTACTGTAGTGCTTTGTCATAATAGTTGTCCAGTAAATTCTTGTTCACTGATGAAACAGAAGTCCCCTTTTACCTATTCCCATTTTCCAAAAGTAGGTAAGTCACTCATTCTTAAAAGACAAGGGAAATGAGAGGACAGTTAAAAGCTCAGCAGTTAGAGCATCCTGCCTCCTACCTGAGTCTGCTCGCCCAAGTCCCACGGAGAGAGAGCCACATCCTGCAAACTATCTTCTGACCCCAAAATATACACATAGCCTTCACATGCCCCCCACACATAGAGTAAATAAATACATAATTTTACAGAGAAAGGGAAATGAAATATACCTATTTTATTTCTACTTTTTCAGTATTTTCTTAGATATAAAGAATTCCAGAACTTTTGTCTGAATTGTTTGACATCTCAAACAAAACTCTTTAAGAGGGATAGAATCATAATTTCCTTTTGAACTATTATTTTTTAGTTAATTTGAGAAATTCTTATTCTTAAGTATTATAGTTGCTAAGATATTCTGAAATCCCCTAGTCAGCCTCATCTTTTTCACTGGTTCTTGTATTTAAGGATCCTTTAAATATTAAAAAATAATGCCATGTGCACTGTGGAAGAGGTCTAGATCTGTTGAAGCCCTCAAGTTAGTCTCCTCAGGTTGTTAGTGTTTTGGTGTGTACACACACACACACACACACACACACACACACACGCACACGCACACGGATGGATTAATGTTTATAGTGTGCTCTTTGCCTCACTACTTTATAAAGTGAGTCCTCTGGTATGAATTTCCATCCATGTTATCACCATTGACAGTGCATGCTGCAGTTTCTCAGTATGTGGAAATCCAGGACATGGTTGACAATGAATAGTAAAGAAATAATGTTGGCATCATAAGCCACATTGTCCTGTATAAAAACCCTAGCACATTTATCTAGTTACTTTCTAAGTAAAGCCCCTGGAACAGGGATTTCCCAGTTATTTTCTCTGAATAATTTAAATTTACAAATGTAAGGACTTAGGTCTTTATTTATAAAACTGTTAAAATGAATTCTTTGAAAATAAGTTAAATAACTAAGCTTTTAATAATGATAAAAATAACTTTTCTAGCTTTTAATCATTTTTCTAGGGAAAGAAACAAAAATTTGAAATTATCTATTTAAGGAAATCTTTGACTATCCAGAAAGTTTCTTTTTGTGGTGCAGATTTTGAAATGGTTTCATTTTTCTTTGAACTCTCCTCACATACTCGCCTTCTCTTGATTCAAGTGCCCATTGCCAGAAGATGCTTCCCTGGCTGCTTGTAGTCATTCATCTACTGGGCAAATTATTTTTAGAGAATATTCACCTCTTTATTCAAGGTACAAATTAGTTTCAGATTGTGTGAATGTGTGGGGGAAGGATATGTAAATGCAGTTTGCATTTGGTTAATGCTTAAATTAACTGCATGTGTTTAAGGGCTTGCTTTTGAACGTTCCTTTCTATCTTTAGCTGAAATGCATAATTCAGCATAGTGCATATGGTTATATTGATCACAGCTGAAGATATTAGCACAAAGGAGCTCTGAAAATTGTTTAGTTGAATTGTTCTCTGCACTGTTATTAATGGCGTGCTGGAAGAATGTAACTTTAAAGAGCAAAATTGTATCTCATTTGAATAAAATGCTGTTTAGCTTAACCTGCTTTTTGTCAAATCGTAAGGTAAGGGGTTGTTTTTCATCCTGTATGGAGTGCTTTGATTTTTCATATTATAATTCAGCAAGCCTATTTTCTCTTTGAACTGTAGCAGTGTGGTATTTTTAAAGACCCAAAACATATCCTAAATAAGCTGATTGATAAAGAGAGAATATAATGTATAAATCTACATAAATTCTGCAGAGAGAAGGTTGGTGGTGCTCACTGATGTGTCCCCATTAAGTTACTCTCCCACAGATGGACTCTGTTTTTAAAATATCAGTGAATGGGGACATAGCTGTCCAAACAGAGAAGAGTGAAAGATGGAAACACAACTTCATTTGTACCTATTGACATATTCTTAGCTACAAAAATTTGAAAGCCTTTAATAAAAAGCAGAGCATAGGAGAGATCACAGTGCACAGAGCAGTGCACCCTTTGCACAGTGGTTCCCAACCTCCCTACTGCTGTGGCCCTTTAATACAGTTCCCCGTGCTGAGCTGACTCCAGCCATACATTATGTCATTGCTACTTGAGAACTGCAATCTTGCTACTGTCGTGAATCGTCATGTAAATATCTGATATGAGACCCCGTGAAAGGGTCATTGGACCCCCTCCCCTCAGAGGGCTTGCCACTGCCTTTGTACCTTAGCTGCCATCTTAGACTCTCTGCTTCTGTAGACCCTGAGTGAGTTTAGTTTATCATCAGCACCTAAGGTTCCCCTCCCTCTCACAGTTAACAGGTTTTATTCTTACTGTTGTTACTTTGGCCTTATTACACTGTGTGCTGTGATTTGGTTGTTCTATGTCATTGTCACCCTATCTGCTAGTTGTCCTAACTGGATCAATATGAGGAGTGCTACATTACCATTGTAGTCCCTAACCAAAGATTTATTTCATAAAAATTCACAATGATTATTAATGCTAATTTTTAGCTTGGAAACAAGTATATGACCCATACCTTCACATTTTCCAGGTGGTTTTCACACTTGGAAATTCTTTTAGTTTACTGGGATATAAGCAGTTTATACCATAAGATAACCTTTAATTTTCTATATGTATAATAGAAGTGTTTGTATATTTAATAATAAAGTATCTGTTATATTTATGCACCCAAGGATTTCGAGGCACTGAATGATATTAAAAATATCCTAATTTAGTCTATTTCTTCTTAACTGTGTAACTTAACGTTTTTACTTGTGTGTGGTATTTATAGCTTGGGACCACAAAGCCTCGAGAAAAGGAAAAAACATATTTCTCTGTAACAACCAGTCAGAGTGCAAACACATTCATGGAAAGAATTCTTGGCAAATGCATTACTTGTTTCTTTTATATTAAGAAAAGGAAACAAAGGGCTGGTGAGATGGCTCAGTGGTTAAGAGCACTGACTGCTCTTCCAGAGGTCATGAGTTCAAATCCCAGCAACCACATGGTGGCTCACAACCATCTGCAATGAGATCTGATGCCCTCTTGTGGGGTGTCTGAAGACAGCTACAGTGTACTTATAATAAATAAATAAAATAAATAAAGTTTTTAAAAAAAAAAAAAAAAGAAAAGGAAACAAAAATGTACAACTTTTATTGAGGAGTTAGAATAAAGAAGAGTTCTTGAGTTCCAAAAGAAATTGAGAGAGGGAGTGGGCAAAACAGAGTAACTGCCCAACAAGGTGATGACAGTGGGAGCAAGCACAGGGTCTATGTACCTTGTGTATGCAGTGCCCGCAGAGGCCAGCAGAGGGAAGAGATCCCCTTGAACTGGAGTTACAGGTGCCATGTTGGTTGCTGGAAAGTGAACACAGATCCCTCTGGAAAAGCAGCCATGGCTCCTAACTGCTGAACCGTCTTTCTAGCCCATGCCTCACCTCCTTTATAAATTAAGCATGTTTAATACAGAGACCAAAAAATTAGTGGGTGAATTTGCTGTTCTCTTGATCTCTCCCTAACAGTTGTGCTTGTGGGTCATGGTGACCTTTCCTTAAAGGTGGCTGCTAATAGCAGGAATCCCATAAACTGAAAATACAGAGGAGTTACACTGACTCTGCCTTAGAATCTATCTCCTGTTGGGACAGAGTTGTTAGGGGATGGTTGATTAAGTTGTAGATTTGGAGTTTATAAAATACATGATCTTGTTTCAACTCAAAGAGTTTTTGCTAAGTGAGGAAAATAAAATCCAAAAAAGTCAATCGGAACACTAAAAGACATTTTTTTTTTTACATGTCTTTCAGGACCCTTAATAAGTAAGTAAAAATAATATACTTAGAATCATATATTTTTAGGCATTTTGAGTAGAATGTTCCTTTGAAGTCCCAGAGACCACAGTTTCCTTGTGTTAATACTGTGAATGTCAGTCTTGAGTTTGTGGTGAGCAGGTGAGCCATGTGGTGGACACATGACGGTCTCCACTGATACCCCGTCCCCTGCTCCTTTGTCTGAGACTGGCTCTGTTTCCTCACCGACTTGATACAAGACCCAGATTGCTGTGTAACCAGATTTACATTTTTTAAATGTGTTTTCGACATCAGTCTCACTTTGCTTTCTAATGTGCTGACTTTATTTTTAAGACCAAAATGAGAAACTAGTTCAAGAAAATAGAGATCTACAGCTGCAGTGTCTCCAGCAAAAGCAGCAGCTGCATGAGCTTCAGAACCGCATGAAGTTCTTCAACCAGGTGAACCAATGCCCCACTGCACAGTGTGTGTGTGTGTGTGTGTGTGTGTGTATTTGTATGTATGTGTGTGTCTGTGTATGTGTGTGTCAGTGTATGTGTGTGTGTATTTGTGTGTATCTGTGTGTGTGTCTGTGTCTATGTGTGTATATATCTGTGTCTGTGTGTGTCTGTGTGTCAGTGTATGTGTGTGTATATTTGTGTTTGTGTATGTGTGTGTGTATATGTGTGTGTGTGTGTGTGTGTGTGTGTGTGTGTTCAGCAGAGGAAAAAACAGTGTGCAACATAGCAAGAAGTACTGACGTGTCAGTTGGTTTATTAGTTAACATACCTGGTTGCTTATGTTCTGAGAAGATATTCTGAGTTGCTGAAATGTGCTGAGTACTTGGTTTCTTAAGTTCATAGCCTCAGCCACTGAATGTTCTGCTAGTTAGTCAGTGTGGTGGGAATCTGGGCTGTGAACTAATCCTCACTGTGAGCTTGGGTTTTCTGTTACAGGAGAGTGACATCAATGCTGATGACATCAGTGAAGCGCTCCTGCTTATAAAGGTAGCGGCATCGGCACATTTAGACATCAGTGCCATTCTTAGGCTTCAGTGTCATGATGGCCTTCATCCATCAACCTTCTGCTCAGAGAATGAATTGTTTGTGCAACTTCTAAAACTCACTGCATCTTAGTGCGAGTGTGTGTGCGAGTGTGCGTCGTGGGGAGGGAGGAGAGAGAGAGCAATGCTCAGGAAATGGTTAGATGACATTTAGTTATAGCATATGCATATTTAATAGCTACATCAAAGTCACATTAAAATAGACCTCAGCACTCTTTGGGTTTTTTGAGACAGGGTTTCTCTGTGTAGTCCTGGCTGTCCTGGAACTCACTCTGTAGACCAGGCTGGCCTTGAACTCAGAAATCCACCTGCCTCTGCCTCCCAAGTGCTGGGATTAAAGGCGTGCACCACCACTGCCCAGCAGACCTCAGCACTCTTACTTACAGCCCTTTGACCTCAACAAACACTTTGTTTTCACCTGGCCCACTGTAAACCAAGCTTGCCTTCTAAAGTGAGGGGTTGTACCATAATTCAAGGCCTTGTCTAGTTCTGAAGAACTATTGTCTACATGTATACTTTTTCTGTTTGTATCATAATGCATATTTTGATCAGATGAAAATGTCTGTCATTTCATTTTTGTTATGAAGGTGATAAACTATTTCTATTTCTTGGTAGTTGTTCCAAATGTCTATGCATCTCTATATATTAGCACTGCGTTATTCCTAGTAGAAAATGGGACATGAATTTAACTGAAGGTTTCTTGATTTATCATGTTAATTCACATGGTCACATTCTGTACATCCTTGTTTCAATTAAAAAAAACTATGGTTTTACTTTAGGCTCAGAAAGAACAAAAAAATGGAGATCTTTCATTTTTAGAAAAAGTGGACACCAAAATTAATAAAGATCTAGATCGTTCCATGAAAGAGCTTCAAGCAACTCATGCAGAAACAGTACAAGAACTTGAAAAGACAAGAAATATGTTAATTATGCAACATAAAATAAATAAAGACTATCAGGTACTGTCAGACACTAACTTAAGAAGGTATACTTTCTATGATATTCTCCTGATGGTTGTCTTTTCAGAGAAACGTTTTGTGTTATCATCTTTTATTATCTATGGTCACCTACTATTAAACATTATTAATAGATTCCTGGAATTTAGCCCTGTAACTAGAGAGTTGAGATACATAGTTTAAAAACAAATAATTCAAGCCTTGGCTTTGGAGGAACCTAGTGACAGTAACCTCACCTGTAGTTAGTGTTGTCACAGTTCTCAGGGAGTCACAGTCATCATCCGAAAGCCCACCACAGCTGCCCAGGTCAGCCCCCTATAGTCAGGAGATCTGTCTACAGCAGAGGAAGCCACCACGCTGTCCGCTGTCTGACAGGAGGACACCGTGGTTTAGAGTGCCCGATAGCCATCCAAAAGATGGTAAAATGATCCTGGTTTTGGAAATTCCAACTAGAAGTGCCTGATTCATAGCATGGTAGCCTTAAATTTTCATCTAGAAATGTTTGAATACTAGCATGGTAGCTTTAGAGCTGCATCTTAAAATGCTTGGCTCAAAGGCGCTCTGACAGATGCAAATAGGATAATCATAAGTACTGAACCTTTCTGTCTCTTATTTTTAGATGGAAGTTGAAACAGTGACTCAGAAGATGGAAAATTTGCAACAAGATTATGAACTCAAAGTGGAACAATATGTTCATCTTCTTGATATCAGGGCTGCACGCATCCAAAAGCTTGAAGGTACAGTGTGCACAGTTTTATGGCAGTTGAAAATGCCTTCCAAACCCTTGCTCACAATATCTTCCTGCTCATTTTTTTCCCTCAATTTGAAGCTGGAATAAGTTACCAGAAAGACTATTCATCTGATTCTTTTCTACTCAGGAATTTTTAGTAGGATTTTTTAAGAATTTACTGTTTTCAAATTCAGGATTGTAGGCAAGATTTCAAAGCACTATATAAAGCCTGGAGTCTCACACCGCCTATGTGATTTTTCTTCTCTGTACCATGTGCACCTTAGCCAGCTCTGTGTGCCAGCTCTGTGCTAGATTCACTCTGCCCATTCCCAGCACTAGTTTTTGTTCTGGCCTAAATTTCCTTTCTCCCTTGACATCACGATATTAGCTGTCCTTCTGTATTACACAATCTAACTTGATGCTTAGCATGGCAGGAAGCTGGCTCTGATTGACTCAACCACCACCCCTTTACCTGAAATACCCTCATAGTGATTTTCAAATTTAGCAATAGGGAAATCACACATGCAATCCCAGCTTTTCAAAGGACAGTGTGGGAGGAATCCAGGTCCAAAGCCAGCCTGGGCACAATGATGAGTTCCTAGGCAACCTGGGCTATCTAGAAATTCTATTCTCAGAATGTATCTAGTTACAGAAGATACCATACTGTCTCCAGCTGTTTCTGTGCTTTGCATCTGAAGTAATAGTTATCTCTATGCAATTCCCCCAGCTAGAAGCCAGAACAACCCTTGGCTTCTTTCTGTCACTTCTATGAAAACTCTAGAGCTGGGCCATCATCACAATCTACACTGTGTCATCATCACTGCCTTCCATATGCCTACTTGCATGGACCATTAGGTCCTGCTTAAAGCGTTTAACTGGTTTCTTTATTCATTCACAAAATCCATGTTCTGTGTGTGTGTGATGGCTTCATATCTTCTATGTGAAATCTGTGCATCTTGGAGATGACAGAATGGGTATTGTATTGTCATTGTGTCATTGATAGTTTCTATGGTATAAGTATCTTCCCTAGAGTTTCTGCATTGAAAATTTAATCCCAAATGGAACCACGTTGACAGACAGAATGTTTAAGAGTCAGTTAAGTCATTTGGCTCTGCTCTCAAGAATTGATCAATGCCACTACCATGGAAGTAGGGTTCATTATTAAACAGTGGGCTTATTGTCAGTGAATGTGATCCCTTCTACCTTGGGATATCAAGAGAGTCCTTGCCGAATACAGAATGTTCAACTTGAACTTCTCAGTCCATGTGGCTCAGTGATAGAATGCATGCTCAGCCTGCACAGTATCCTGGGCTCAGGTCTCCAGCACCAAGAAGGAAATAAAGCAAGTGATCTTTGTTTCTTTATAAATTGCCTGGGCTCAAATATTCTGTGAGAGCATTACAAAGATTAAGAAAATGCTTCCTGCATTTCCTTGGCACACATTCTTTCCAGTACTGCCCTACATGGTCTGAGTTCCTTAAGGGCAGACTTTAGTTTCCCCATCTGTGTTCCTGCTGCCTAGCAGTTTGCTTAGGATGCCTTAGACGTCTGGTTATGTTCATGGAGTGAATAGTTGATTATAGGGGGCAGGCAAAGCATGCCGGTAAAGGCTTGCAAAGATTTGTATGAAAGTTCTTTACTTGGTGACCTCTCTTTTAACCAAGAAAATTGCATCAAACAAATTTTATAGATTACTATTTGGAAAAACAAGGTACAGGATGCTCTTTGACTTCTGGAAAGTTCTATTCAGTCAGATAAGGATACTTAGTTCTTCAGAGACAAGAAGTTCTCAAAGTACAGTCTGAGAATCCCCAAGGCTAGTCTTATAATAATATTAATAATGTTATTTTGTCATCTTTATTCTCTTACAAGTCTATAATGGGGTTTCTCAGGGGCTTTGTCTGATATCAACAAATTAAACACGGCCACAGACTCATATTCCAGGTGTTTTCTGTTAAGTCAAGATGCTAAAGACATTTGTAAAAATATTTTTTAAAAGTTTTTTTAAAGTTGAAAGAATTAAAATAATGCAACTTTTCACATTTTTAAGAAATTACAACTTTGAAAGAATAAATATTATAATTTGCATTAACATGCAATACATTATTATTATGTGTATTAAACTATTTAAATATTTAAAAAAAATTTTTCTTTTCAGTATGATCAATAGCAATAAGTATAAATTGTTATCAAAAGACTTTTGGGATCCTCAATAACTTTTAAGAGTGTAAAGTCCCTGGGAAGATAGGCAACTCAAGTACTGAAGATAGTGGGTATGAGAGAGGTTGGCGCTGAGCACTGTAGAGCCTGCAAACTAGCAGAGAAGCCCCAGAGGATGGGGAGAAAAGGACAGAAGGAGGGGACAATGACACAGACGCAAAAGAGAGTAATAGTTTAAAACGGAAAGTGCTCATCAGCCAGAAACAACAACAACAACAAAATAACAGAAAGCCTGGCAGTGCCCCATCTAGAGCTGAATTCCTGATACTGTTTGAAGAGGATTTCACATTCACAGAGCGGGAAAGAGTGTCTTATAGGAGCAATTGGAGACACATTTTATTCTGAGCTGTGCATATAGAAAATAAAAAATTAGCCTTATAAAATGTAACTGATGTACCTTTAACTGCACATTTAAAGAATAAATGTGTTTAGTTTAAGCTTATATGTACAACTATGAAACTATCACCATACCCGAGATTACCTCCCCCAAAGTAGAAACAGACGTGTCTTATTCAGCTAAAGAAGTGGTATCCAGGAAAAGAGAGATGGACTTTGTAAGAGGAAAGATAACAGATATAACGAAGCTGGAGGAGGGGTGCATGGTGTCTGTGACCTCAGCTCTGACTTGCCTTTCCTATTCCTGGCTAAGGCTATCTTACAACTGAAGGTGTAATGGTTTTCATTTTCAATCTTTAACTGTAAAATGATGAGTTACAGTTACATACATTTTGAAGTTGTGATTTTATTATTTAATGACTGGTGTTAAAGCAAGTCTTGAGGGGTGTTGTTGTTGAGCACCATTTTCAGAGAATAACAGTACAGTTCTAGTCTGTAAAGATGGAGAATATTCACTGAAAGCACCCAGACATTCGGCCACTTCAGAAGCTGGTTTGTATCTGCATATGTCAGCATTTTAACATCTCTACACTGTATCTTCTCTTGCAGCCCAGTTAAAGGATATTGCCTATGGCACTAAGCAGTACAAATTTAAACCAGAAATCACTCCAGATGACTCTGTTGATGAATTTGATGAAACCATCCACCTGGAACGAGGAGAAAATCTGTTTGAAATCCACATCAACAAAGTCACCTTTTCTTCTGAAGTCCTGCGGACTTCTGGTGATAAAGAGCTTGTCACCTTCTGTACCTACGCCTTCTATGACTTTGAGCTGCAGACAACTCCCATCGTGCGAGGCCTTTACCCGGAATATAACTTCACTTCTCAGTATCTTGTCCATGTCAATGACTTATTTTTGCAGTACATTCAGAAGAACACTGTCACTCTGGAGCTCCACCAAGCCTACAGCACAGACTATGAAACAATTGCAGCATGTCAGTTGAGATTCCATGAGATTCTAGAAAAAAGTGGCAGAATTTTTTGCACAACAAGCTTAGTTGGTAAGTACAGTTTATGATCTTTGGATGTTTCAATCACTAGGTTGGCTTATGTGTTCACTGGCATACTATATTCTTACCTCACACATTAAGGGCATTTGGGGTAAGGACAGTGATCTTTGCTCACAGGTGACTGAACTTTCTTTAGTGTCATGAATGATGGTGCAAAATAGCTATTAATACTTACAACCATTATGAATAGCCATTAAACTCACAAAGTCAAATGTTTACTTTGATATTGATACTCTTGCTTAATTAAAATGTTAATTGTATTACATTCTTCATGCTTCTGAAGACATGCCAACACTGTCACTGCATTCTAGGAATAGTAGTTAATGACAAATAAGGCAGACAAAGGCTATGCCTAGGACAAGCACACGCATACATACACACACATATACACACAGGAGAACCTGCCCAGCCCAACTATAAAACTCAGAGTAGCCAACACAGACCTATGGTGTGTAAAGAAGAGAAACAACTAAGATAAAATAGCAGACATCCGAGTCACGTGTGATACAGACTTATCACCAGCACACATCACAGGAAAGATGAGTCCAGTTCCTCTAAACTCTCCCCCAACATCTGAGCACATAACTGAAATTATCTCCAATTTTCAGAATTTCCAAAAGAAATCATCCTAACACTTCATCTTGTTCTTTTTTTTTAATTTCTCATATTTAATTTCTCATTTTTCTCATATTGGAAAATATTTTATTTTCAGTTTTTAAATTTTTTATTCTTGTGTTTCCACTCTACTTAACAATTTTCTATATGTGTTTGTATGTATGCATATATACACAATGCATATTATATGTACGGATGTATGCTTGTACACACAGTGTATATTATGTGTGTGGATGGATGCATAGACACACAGTGTATGCCCAGAAATGATTTTTGTCTCCTTGCAGCCATAGCACCTCTGACACTGTGAGATGTGAAAGCCAGCCACCAGCGGGAAGCTTCCAGGTTCATTTTCCTGTGTCCTGTATTCAAAATGTGTGGTGACTCCACCAATAGTGTGTTACCATTTAGTTCTCTGGGGCAAGAGCAATGGCCAGAGCCTGCATTGTTTTCTGATACTCTGTGGCCTCCCTAGATGACAAATCATAGAGATGTATTTTGCACCTGGCACTGAGACTTTTGTGTTCAAAAAAAAAGGGGGAGGAGCTTCTGGGAGCATGTGATCTAACCACATAGGGTACTTCCATTCAAGTCTTTAAGTTTTTTAATTACATTTTAGTTACATTATGAAGTAGCAGGTTATTTATGGCTCCCTCAGTCACCACTGATTGTGCCCCCCACCACCTCTCTACTATTTCTCTAGTAAACTTTTTACTTTATCTTACTGGTTCAGAGGTTTTTACACTAGTCCTATTTTTATAATTTTCCAATGTTTTTTAAACTTTTTCGTTTGGGAAGGGAATTTCGTTGTTGTTGTTGTTATTATTGTTGTTGTTGTTTTGCTATTTTCTCTAATCTCTTTTTTTGTCTCTTCCCGACCACAACATTCTTCCCAGCCCTGTCTTTCCCGTCTTTATTTAACCCTGATCTTTTGGTTTACCCCTTCTCTGCCTCCTTGTTATTGTTTCTACTTCCACGTTTACTCGAAACAATGTTTAACTTGATAGTGCACTCCACAGTAGTTTCCCGTCTGCCGTGGACACTGGTGGGCTGATAGTACTTGATTTAAGTTGCTTTTTCTCTCTGGTACTAGGGACTGGAACTGGGTCCTCAAGGGTAGGCTGCTCAATAAGGAAATGCTCAGATAAAACTGGGATCAATATCCAAGCAAATAGAAACACAAATCACAGACCAGAAATGGGAAAAGGCAAGAAGCAAGGCTCCTCAAAATCATGAGTCCTTAACTCCTTAACTGCCGGACGCCAACACATTCAAGGAGGTGAAAGCGCAGGCGAAGATGCCAAGGGCTCACTAATAAAGATTACTAGTGGCCATAAAGAAGATACACAGACAAGAAGATTAATTCAATTTAGGACCTGGAGAAAAAACTCAGCAACACTGAGGAAAACAGCTAAATGGATAAAAAATAAAATCCAGCAAGAAAATTAAGATTTGGAGTGGGTGGTGGAAGCAGAAAGATGGTAAGAGGAAAAAAAAATAAGTTTTTCAAAATTTAAAAACCCACAGTAGAAAGTGTCACCAATAGACTAGACCCAGCCAAACAAAAGAGAGACTATCAGGGTAAGGACAAGATCAAGAAAGTACTACATTCAAATATAAATAGAGAAAAAGTTCCCCACTCCCTTCTCCAGCCCCACAGCTGCCTATTTCCATTCATTCCCCTGTTCCTCTGGGCTTCTCTTCTGTCTCCCTCCCTACCTCTCTCTTCCCCTCCCCTCTCATCTCTCACCCAGGCCCCTTTCTCCCTCTTCCTTCCCTGATTATTTTCTTCCCCCTTCTAAGTGGGATTGAAGCATCCTCACTTGGGCCTTCCTTCTTGTTAAACTTTATAAGGTCTGTGAATTGTATTGTTGGTATTCTGTCCTTTTTGGTTAATATCCACTTATCAGTGAGTCCTTTTGAGTATGGATTACCTCACCCAGGATGATATTTTCTAGTTCTACCCATTTGCCTACAAACTTCATGATGTCTTTGTTTTTTAATAGCTGAATAATAGTCCATTGTGTAAATGAACCACATTTTCTGTATTCATTGGTTCAAGGACATCTGGGTTGTTTCCAGCTTCTGGATATTCCAAATAAGGCTGCTAGGAACATAGTGGAGCATGTGACCTTGTGGTATGGTGGAGCATCTCTTGAGTATATGCCCAGGAGTGGTATAGCTGGGTCTTCAGGTAGAACCATTTCCAGTTTTCTAAGGAACCACCAGATTGATTTCCAGAGTCTCTGTATCTGTTTGCAATCCCACCAGTAATAGAGGAGTGTTCCTCTTTCTGCACATCCTCAAACAGTATGTGCTGTCACTTGAGTTTTTGATCTCAGCCATTCTGAGTTGTGTGAGGTGGAATCTCAAAGTCATTTTGATTTGCATTTCTCTGATAACTAAGGATTTCTTTAAGTACTTCTCAGCCATTTGAGATTCTTCTGTTGAGAATTCTCTGTTTAGCTCTGTACCCCATTTTTAATTGGGTTATTTTGGTTTTTGGAGTCTAACTTCTTGATTTTTTTATATATTTTGGTTACCCCTCTATCAGATGTGGGGTTAGTGAAAATCTTTTTCCAATCTGTAGGTTGCCATTTTGTCCTATTGACAGTGTCCTTTGCCTTACAGAAGCTTTTCAGTTTCATAAGGTCCCATTCATCAATTGTTGTTCTTACAGCCTGAGCAATTAGTGTTCTATTGAGGAAAATTTCCCCTGTGCCAATGCGTTTGAGGCTATTTTCCACTTTCTCTCCTATTAGATTCAGTGTATCTGGTTTTATGTTGACGTCCTTGATCCACTTGGACTTGAGCTTTGTACAAGGTAATAAATGTGGATCAATTTGCATTCTTCTACATGCAGACTGACAGTTAGACCAGCACCATTTGTTGAAGATGCTTTCTTTTTTTTCACTATATGGTTTTGGCTTCTTTGTCAAAGATCAAGTGTCTATAGGTGTGCGGGTTTATTTCTTGGTCTTTAACTCTGTTCCATTGATCAGCCTGTCTGTCTCTGTACCAATACCATGCGGTTTTTATCACTATGAAAAAAAAGTAATAGGCAAACCTCACCACAGTGCCCAGGAACTCTGATGCAAAAGACCAGAGCTAAGCATCTCAAGGGCAGAAGGGGCTTCCTTCATTAGCACTTCCTGCTGCACTGTTCACAATAATCAAGACACGGACCCAAGGAGATGAAAGCACACACTACACAGTGGGCTTCATTCAGCTGTAAGAAGAACACTTATAGTATATACAGGAAAGCTGATGGAGCTGCGGATCACTATGCTAAAAGAAATAAGCCAAAGTTCAAAGACAGAGACTGTGGTTTGATTCATATGAGAAATTGATGTTTAAATGTGTACGTGTGTGTTTACATGTATATGTCATGAAAGTAGAAGAGGAGATGTGAGAATGAGAGGGAAATGCCATACATGGGCATGAAAGCACAGGGCATTTGAGGGGAAGGAGAAAAGGGTGGGGTGGAACAAGGGAAGTGGAGTGGCAAGTACAACCAAAGTATCAAACTGTACATGTGAAAATGTCACAGAGAACCCATTATTGTGTGCTTACTAAAACAAAATTAACAAGATGATGTTTAAAATCATGGTTTGACCTCATTTTATTAGGCAAGGAGGGGTGGTAAGAAAAGTAACAATACATTTATTAATTTCAGCCTGTTCATTAGCTGTTCCCTCAGGATTTAGTGGGCTGAGGCTATAGATAGAGTGATTACATATTATGTACAAAACCCTAGGTTTGATGTCTACCACGTGGCATGCAGGTCTGTAACCCTGGGACTCGGGAGGTGAAGGCAGGAGGATCAGAAGTCCAAGGTCACAGTGAGGTTGAGCCCAGCCTCAGCTAGACACCCTGTCTCAAAAAAAAAAAAAAAAAAGATATTTGCCAATCTGTTGAATGTGACCAATGCCTGAACACTGGAACTCTAAAAGGTTGGGTTCAGGGAGAGGAAAAAGGAGCAGCCAAGAAAATGGTGGCCAGTGCACAGCAGGAAGACTTGAGCATATGGTTGTCTAGAAGCCAAGTAAGAGGCCTCTGAAGGAGAAGGAAGGGCAGCTTGTGTCTAAATAGGGCTTCTATTTTATGATTGAGTGACTCGCTGCTTAGATAATAGATTCCTCAGAAATCAAAATACCTAAGTGTTTTTTTCCCTCCTGTCCTTAGCCATCCCAGCCTTTCATCAAAGGTTACAAGTTCATGCAAAGACACACCTATGTATATACAAGTAAACATATCTGTAGTAGTACTCTTCTTTGGGGGCTTTTAAAAATAATGGTAAATATTAAATCTTTTTCAGGATTAATGGTGAAGCCCGTTTGTAAGAAAAAAGTGTTTAAGCATGATATACTTAACATAGTAATGTTCAGAAAAAGTTAAGAGAATTTTCTTTTTGACAGGTATTTAGAATCCATATGTGCCAGTCCCTCAGGAAAAAATATTTTGAAGGCATCTGCAGCCCTTAAGAAACCTGTGCGGTGCTGGGCGGTGGTGGCGCACGCCTTTAATCCCAGCACTTGGGAGGCAGAGGCAGGCGAATTTCTGAGTTCGAGGCCAGCCTGGTCTACAGAGTGAGCTCCAGGACAGCCCGGGCTATACAGAGAAACCCTGTCTCGAAAAACCAAAAAAAAAAAAAAAAAAAAAAAAAAAAAAAGAAACCTGTGCGGTATACATACTGCACACTTTGTGAACAGACAGACTGAACTGCTCAGTGCAGTAAGGACATACAGTTCTTCAATGGAAGCTTAGGGCTGTTAAATCTTCCAGAAGCCACAAGCAAAGTCTTGGTAGAGAAAGAAAAGATACCTGAGTAGAGTGCACATGGCATGTGCCATCCAAGGCCACATTGACAGTGCCATTATTTGGCATACTGTGACCTCTTCCATATGCTTGTGGTCCATTGAAGAAGTGGAAGGATGCCAAAGATCCCTTAAAAGTTGAATCAGAATGTGGAATGTCATATTTATAATTTTGAGGTTGTATATTGTAAATGTCAGGCTAGATTGAGTCCAACTTGTTTAAAGAAAAGTACCACAGTATCCAAAAGAATCTGTAGAGTATCTGATCCACTGTTTGGATTTTTCTTTATATGCAAGATTGAAATGATACCAGTTGAAATAGCTCAGTCATAGTTTGACATGGCTCTTTAATATTTAACATGCAGTGAAACTCATATTCCAGATGTAACTTTTCTTCATTTCTGTCATTTGCCAAGCAAACATCATTTGTGTAAGTCATATTACTTTACTCTGCATAAAGTTTATGCCTTTAATATATAATACCATTGGTATATTTTACTTGTATATATTCTCATTTATGTGACTATTTTAACAGTGGGTCATGCATTGATTATGTGTAGGAACTAAAGGAGACATCCCAAATTTTGGCACAGTAGAATACTGGTTCCGATTAAGAGTTCCCATGGATCAAGCTATTCGACTTTATCGAGAGCGGGCAAAGGCATTGGGATACATAACATCAAATTTTAAGAAGCCAGAGAAAATGCAATTGGTAAGCTTGTTTGACTGTAAGACCCTTTTATAGCACAGGAATCTGCACTATCTCCTCATATCCTGTGCTTTAAACTGAAATTGTTTTTTTTATACTAGCATCAAGTGGCTTGCTTAACCTTTTATTTTAGAATAATCAGACTCTCAGGAAGTAACAGGAACAGTAGAGTTGGCTTTTGTATACTTTGCTACTTTCTCCTAGTTACAGCATAATCCTAAAAAGTGAAAGTCAAGCTGGGAATGGGGATGCATGAGTGGTACCCCAACTCTTTAGGAGACCGATTGCACAGGACTACAGATTCAAGACTAGCCGCAACTTCACAAGACCCTGAATCATGGTTTTTAAAGGACTAATGATGTAGTTCTGTGGTAGAGTGCTTGCCTCTCATGTACATTCCCAAGCTCTTGGTTCACTCCCTAATGCTTAAAAACAAAACAAAGACGAGAACTTGACATGGTGTGCCATTAACTGAGCTCATCCCTTATTCAGACTACATCAGTATTTGCACACAGTCATTTGTGTGTTCATTCTGCATAGTGTTATCGCCTGTAGATATTCACTAAACCACTACAAGACACAGGTATTCCACCTATACAAACGAATTCCCTTGTACTCCCCAAGATAGTTTTAGAAAATATAACTAGAGAAGTGTTACTACACATCAAGAGACCTTTATCAGTGAATTTTACTCTTAAATAAGTATTGTAAACCTCTAGGCTTCTTTCAAACTGTTTAATATCAATAGATTTTTGAAATGCAAAGTAGAATACAAAATCAGTATTTTATTGCTGAAAACCGGGAGTTTAAATGTGGCTCTCCATTCCCCGAACTATATTTCTTTGAATATTAATAGTCACATTTTCAACCGGTTCTAGGAGCTGGTAAATGCACTGCATGAAGTTTCATAGAACTCTGGAGTTGATGGCCTTTTATATATAGCATGAATATCAAAGGGAAAGAAAGCATGTGAGTGTCAGGGAGAGAGCACTGCAGAGACACCTTGAAATGTGTGCGCAGTTGGAATTCTCTTTCTTTCCATGGAGTCTGTGTCTGGGCCCTGGTGGCCAGGTTTATGTTAGGTGATCCCATTTCCTCCAATAGTCCACTCAGTATGATTAAGAAATATCCTCTTGGCCCCAATTGGACCAGACAGACTTTCCTTCTGAGAGCAAAGGAAAGCAAGACTCTCCATGCCTGGAACTTGTAAAATTGGGAGCTGTTGGCAGCCATCTTCCACCTTGTCAGTCAGCAAAATGAAATATACAAAGCTTGAAGAGAGAATAATGAGCCAGTATTCAGAGAAAAGAGGAGAGCAGACACAATAACTTCCACTGTTTTCCCAAATGTATGAGCTTCCTAGGGACCAACCTAATTTCTCTTGTACAGATCCATGAAATATCCCTGAAATGTTACGTGAAATTGTCATCATTACCTTTGCTGGGTGTATTTTCTTTGACTTGAACTTAAATGTAGATTCTCAAACCAAAGGGAACATGGCACCTGCTTCCCAGCAATCACTTTCCTGTAGTATTCTTCACAGCACATCTGAAAGAATGTTACAGAGATGACAGTGTTTTCTTAGTTTTCAACTTTAATGGATTGATTTGGCGGTGGGAGGCAGGGATGGGGAGGCAGAGGCAGGAGGTACTTTAAAAATCATTCCACTGAGCTTCCTTGGTTAAGTGCAGGCTCACCTGGGTAAGTGCAGGCTCACCTGGGTAAGTGCAGGCTCACCTGGGTAAGCAGTCTTACACAGGCTTAGGTTTCCCACTGCACACCACCAGAGGTCTCCACTGGGTGCACCATGATCAGCATCTCTTGCTCAATCCAGGTTTAGCACTGCAGAAGGAGGCAGGGTAGGAAGCTCTCCAATACTAAACTAAGGGAGGCACTGGAACACTAACATTTCTTTGTCTCAGATCATCTCAGCCATAAAAGATTTATCACTTACTGCAAATGTTTTCTAACATCTGGTGTGCTTACTGGTGTTCCCAAGAGGGATGTGGAATAGTTTCCAGCTCTACCCACTGCCTTTGCTCATCTCATCTGGAATCCCCTCCCCCCCAGTCTAGCATTTTCCCCTTTCTGTCTTACCTCACACCAAACTCTGGGTGAGCATGTGAGTCTCCTCTGGTTAGGACACTTTCCAGACCCATCGCTCACTTGACTCATCAGTTATTAGTTATTGCAGAACTAAAGAACATCACGTTAACTTTTATCTTATTTGATTTTAGGACCAGTTTCTACAAATATCCTTGGTTAGAGTGTTTGCTTCCAATAGCACAGGCTGTGTATCCTCACATGTGCCAGGTTTCTCATTGTACAGTTCTAAATCATGTCAGTTTCTATTAAGAATCTTTTTTGCTGAGAAAATTACTTTGATATGAAAGTATGTAGTTTTGTCCATTTACAAACTTTTGTTTGGAGGTTGGAAGCCAATAATTATCTTTTAATTGTATTATTTCTATAATATAAATATATATGTGTTTCCAGTTGAGTCAGCCAGCAGCCACAACTGCTCAGATCAGTTCAGCGGAGTCTACAGATGGCAACTTAAATGAACTTCATGTTACAGTAAGATGTTGCACCGACCTACAGTCCCGAGCAAGCCACCTACAGCCACACGCATATGTTGTGTACAAGTTTTTTGATTTTCCAGACCATGATACAGCCATTATTCCCAGTAGCAATAATCCACAATTTGATGACCACATGTGTTTCCCAGTGCCAATGAATATGGATTTGGATCGATACCTTAAGTCAGAGTCTCTGAGTTTTTATGTTTTTGATGATAGTGATACCCAGGAGAATATTTACATCGGAAAAGTCAATGTGCCTCTGATTTCCCTGGCACATGACAGGTGCATCTCAGGTAAGAATATGTTCTTGATTCCATGAAATTGTAAAAGCAAACCTAAAGTATACTTTAGTGTTAGAGCTATGATTTATTAGCAACTAATTTTTCCTAACCTTAGACAATACTTAAACTTCATTTCTATAATACTGTTTATATTTTTAGTTATTTCCTTGCTTGAAACCACAGCATTTTGGGTGTTTGAGGGTGTTTATAGTGTAAAGTAATACTAACTTGATTACATTAAGATATAAGAAGTCTAATGTTCTCTCTTTCATCCTTTGTGTTGTTACTACCATATATACGTACATAGTATGCCTGTATTTTGACATTTTTATTGGTGTATGTTAATTGCACAAAATAATGGACTACATTATGTCATTTTCATACATGGATATAACATGCCGTGGTTAGAGTCACCTCTCATCCCTCCCACACCACTTTTGCACATATATATATTAAAGACAACAATGAGGTGTCCTGATTGTTTAGAGAAATGAAAGACTGTAATTACAGGGATCTTGATGTTTACCGATATAGTTACTATTTTGGGTATTTATTTATTCCTGTAGGTTGACTTTGTTTTCACTGACTTATATTCTTACCATGAAGTCATTTCCTTGCTCCATTCAGCTCTGCCTCAGTCCCAAGGATACATATCTTGTGTGTTATGAACCCAACAATATAATTTATAATTACTGGTTTATATACTTTTAAACAGTTAAGAGGAGAAAAGAAAAGATATTTGCATAATCTCTTGTAGTTTTGTATGCAGTTGTCCTGTTGGTCCCTATCAGATGTATAGGTCTGAGTTATCCTCATGTGTCTTTTTCTTTCAGCCTGAAGAAAACTTCTTATCTAATATGTGCTGGAAGTCAGGTCTGCTGCTAGCAAATGGTTTCAGTCATTGTAACCTTGAGATAGTCTTAGTTTTTCTTTGACTTTTTGGTAAGATAATCTTGCTGGCTAGTAGTTTGATTGTTGGGTTTTGTTTTGTTATCCTTCTAACACATGTAATACAACAAACCGTTGACTGTGGGAAGCCAGTTATTCTAAGAAGCCACCTATTGACATTGACTTTATTGTGAGTCACATAAATATGATGCTGCCTTTAAGGTTTTGTTTGAGGTTTTGAATAGTTTGATGTGTTTCCTCTTGTATTTCTTCTGCTTGCAGTTTATCTAGGGACCCCTTCAGCCAACTATTCATATTCAGCTAGATACAACCCATTTCTGGAATTGAACATTTTACTTGGTGGTAAAAAAGATCTAGTTGGGGCATCGTCTCCACCCTTTATTTATCAAATATGTATAGATTTTAGGTGGATTCTAGAGAGCAGGCTTCCATATGACCCCCCCAGATAGCCTCCAGTGTTAGTCGTCCCTCCTGACGCTCTCTCTTCCCTTTCTCATGCACCCCTCTCCATTTAATCCTACTGCATCCTCCCTCCTGTCTCTCCAGTCTAATAATCCATTTCCCCTTCCTTGAGAGAGCCTCACTTCCCCCCAAGTCTCTTACTTAGTACATAAACTCTGTGGCCATATATGCTTTAATAGGCATTTAATAATAAACGTTTAATAGCATTTAGAAAGTTGTATGTACATCTAAGAGAAACATAAAATTTGTCTTTTTGGGTCTGGACTACCTCACTCAGGATTGTTTTGGGTTTGTTTGTTTGTTTGTTTGTTTTGTCTTGGTTTTTTAGCCTCATCTATTTACCTGAAATGTTCATAATTTTGGTTTCTTTAATAGCTTAGTAATAGTCCGTTGTGCAATATAGTACATTTTCATCATTCATTCATCAGTTGGTGGACGTGTAGGCTACTTGCAGTTTCTTGCTCTTATAAATCGAGTGGTGATAAACATGGATAGTAGGATGTAGAGTCCTTGGGTATATACTCAAGACTGCTATAACTAGATTTTGATGTACATCCATTGCCAGCATCTTGAGAAACTGTCACAATCATTTCTATTATGATTGCCCAAGTTTGCACTCTTATGAGCAATAAGAAATGAATAGATGTTCCCTTTCTCAAAATCCTTGACAATATGAGCTGTCATTTGCTTTATTGATCTTGGTGATTCTGACTGCTATAAGATGAAATCTCAAAGTAGTTTTGATTCACATTTACCTGATGACTAAGGATATTGAACATTTAAATATTTCTTGGTCATTTGTTTCATCCTTTGAAAACTCTATGCTTTAGTTCTGCACCTCACTTTTTAAAATTGGGCTGTTTTCTTGATGTCGAGAGTTTTTTTTTCGTATTTCTTTATATATTTTAGATACAAACCCTCTATCAGATGTAAAATTGTTCTTTAACAAAAAGCCATTCTGCTACTTTACCATTGCTGTCATCCTTTACCATACACGAGCTTCTTAGTTTCATGAGGTCATCCCATTTATTAGTTGTTGACTCAGTGCCTGTGCTATCACTGTTCTGTTCAGAAAGTCTTTTCTTATACCAATGAGTTTTAAGACTATTCTATAGTATCCCTTCTGTAGGATTCAGGGTATCTGGTTCTTAATCCATGTGGAGCTGAGTTTTATGCAGAGTGATAAATATAGATTAATTTGCATTATTCAACATGCAGACATCCAGTTTGACCAGCACCATTTGCTCAAGGTGCTTCCCTTTTCCCAGTGTGTGTTTTTTGGATTCTTTGTCAAAACTCAGCTGTCCATAGGTGTGTGGACTTATGTCTGAGTCTTCAGTTCCATTGATCAACATGTCTGTTTTTGTGCCAAGACAATGCTGTTTGTATTACTATAGCTCTGCAGTGCAACTTGAAATCCCAAATGGTGATACCTACAACAGTTGGGTTTTGTTGTTGTTTGTTTTGTTTTGTTGTTTTTTTATTCCAGATTATTTTAGCTATCCTGGGTTTATGTGTGTGTGTGTGTGTGTGTGTGTGTGTGTGTGTGTTTCCATATGAAGCTGAAATTTGTGTTTTCAATTTCTGTGAAGAATTGTGCTGGAATTTTGATGAGGATTGCACTGCATCTGTAGATTGATTTTGGTAGGATGGTCATTTCCACTTTATAAATTCATGAGCATGGGAGATTTTTCAATCTTCTATCTTCTTCAGTTTCTTTCTTCTTTGTCTTTCACTTGCTTGGTTAGATTTATCCCAACATATTTTATATTAGTTGAGGCTGTTAAAGATATGGTTTCCCTGATTTCTTTCTCAGCCCCTATGACGTTTGTGTATATAGGAGAGCTACTGATTTTTGTGAGTTAATTTTGTATCCAGCTACTTTGCTGAAGGTGTTTATCGTCTATAAGAGTTTCCCAGTAGTATTTTTAGAGTCACTTAATGAATACTATCATATCATTTACAAATAAAGATACTTTGACTTCTTCCTCCCAGTTTGTATCCCTTTGATCTTCTTCAGTTGCCTTATTACTTTAGCTAAGACTTTAAGTACTATATTGAATAGCTTTGGAGAGAGTGGACAGTCTCATCTTGTTCTTGATTTTAGTTGAATTGCTTTGAGTTGGTCTCTATTATGAAGGGATGTTGGACCTTTGTCAAAGCTTTCTTGGCACCTAATGATATAATCATGTGGACTTTTTTTTTTGTCCTTCAGTTTGTTTATATGGTAGGTTATATTTTTCAATTTATGAATGTTAAGCCATTCCTGCATCTCTGGAATGAAGCCTGTTTGATCATAGTGGATGATCTTTTTGATGTGTTCTTGGATTTGGTTTGCAAGTGTTTTATTGAGAAGTTTTGCATCTATGTTCAAGAGGAAAATTAGCTTGTAATTCTCTTTATTTTGTCTGTATGTGGTTTCAGTATCAGAATAACTGTGGCCTTGTAAAACAAATTGGACAATGTTCCTTCTGCTTATATTTTCTAGAATAATTTGAGGAATATTGGTATTAACTCTTTTGGTCTGGTAGAATTCTGTGCTACAATCATCTGACCCTGGGCTTGTTTTGGTTGGGAGACTTTTAATTACTGCCTCTATTTCACTAGAGGCTGTTGGTCTGTTGAAATTGCCTATCTGAGGTTAACCTTAGTAAGTGGTATGTATCAAGAAAATTACCCATTTCTTTTAGATTTTCCAATTTGGTATAGTTTTTTTTTAAGTATATTCTTAAGATTCTGTGGATTTCATCAGTGTCTGTTGTTAAATCCCCCTTTCCATTTCTAATTTTGTAAGCTTGGATATTCTCTTTCTGCCTTTTAATTTGCATAAAAGTTTGTCAATCTTATGATTTTTTCAAAGAAACAATTCTTTGTTTCATTGGTTCCATGTATGTTTTTATCCTATCTTATTGATTTCAGCCCTGATTTTGTTGTTGTTGTTGTTGTTGTTGGTTTGTTTTTGTTTTTTCTTGTTTTTTGAATTTTTTTGGTCTGTCTACTCTTTGGGTGTGATTATTTTTTCTTTTCTTCTAGTGCTTTCAGATATGCTGTTAAGTTACTAGCATGAAATCTGATTTGTTTGTTTGTTTGTTTGTTTGTTTGTTTGAGACAGGGTTTCTCTGTATAACACTGGCTGTCTGGAACTCACTCTGTAGACCAATCTGGCCTTGAACTCACAGCAATCCACCTGCTTCTGCATCTCAAGTGCTAGGATTAAAGGAGTGTGCCACCACACCAGGCTCCTGACTTTTTTTTTTTTCTTATAGGCACTTAGTAACATGAAAGTGCCTCTTAGAACAGACTTCTTTACATCTCATAAGTGTTAATGTGTTGTGGAATTGTTTTCATTCATTTCTGGAAAGTATTTAATTTCTTAATTTCTGTCAACCCATTTTTTTATTCAATAATGAGTTTTTCAGTTTCCATGAGTTTGTAAGTTTTCTGTTGTTGTTTATATACAAATTTAATCTTAAAGTTTAAATTTAAAATTTAAAAAGTAGTCAGATAGGATTCAGGTTTTACTTCAACTTTCTTGTATCTGTTGAGACTTGCTTTGTGTCTGAGTATGTGGTCAGTTTTGGAGAAAGTGCCAGGAGTGCTGGCAAGAGGATATATTCTTCTGCTTTTAGGTGAAATATTCTATAAATATATGTTAGTACTATTTAGTTTATAACAATTAGCTCCAACATTTCTGTTTAGTTTTTGTCTGGATGATCTATTACTGGGAGCAGGGTATTTAGGTCTCCCACTATCAGTGTGTTAGGGTCAATGTGTGACTTAACCTGTAGTAGTGTTTCTCTTAGGAACTTGGGTGCCCTTGTGCTTGCTGCGTAGATGTTAAGAATCACAGTGGCCTCTTGGTGAGTTTTTTTCCCTTTGATTAGTTTGTAGTGACTTTCCCTATCTCTTCTGATTAATTTTGGATTGAAGTCTATCTTATAAGATATTTAAAGGGATTTCAACAGCTTGTTTCTTAGTTCCACTTGCTTGGAATATCTTTTTCTAACCCTTTATCCTAAAGTTATGTCTAGCCTTAATGTTAAGATGTGTTTCTTGGTGCAGCAGAAAGGTGAATCCTGTTTTTACATCTATCTTGTTAGTCTTTTGACTTTTTATTGGGGAATTTGGACTATTGATGTTGAAAGATACCAATAACCAGTGACTGATGATTCCTGTTTATTGTTGCTGCTGCTGCTGCTGATGATGATGGTGGTGGCGGTGGTGATAGTGGTTGTGGGCGAGCATTTCCATTCTTTTGACTTTTTTAGTCTGTGTTTATTTACTTCCTGTGTTTCCTTTCATATAGTTAACCTCTTTAGTTTAATTAGAGAAATCTATAGACTTTTAAGAATACACTGCTTAAATTTTGCTTTATCACAGAATGTCTCCAGCTTTTTTTCCCCATCTATGGTGATTGAAGGTTTTGCTGGGTATAGTAATTTGAGAAGGCATTTGTCGTCTCTTAGATTCTTTAGCACATCTGTTTGGACCCTTTTGAGGGACCCAGAGTTTATAGAGTCTCCATTGGGAAGTCAGGTATAATTCTAATAGGTCTTCCTTTATATATTCCTAGGTCTCTTTCACTTGTAGCTTTTAGTATTCTTTCTTTGTTCTATACATTTAGAGTTTTGATTATTATGTGCTGAGTTGAATTTCTTTTTTTGGTCTAGTCTATTTGGTGTTCTGTGTGCTTCTTTTACTTTAATAAGCATCACTTCCTTTATGTTACGGAAATTTTCTTCTATGATTTTGTTGAAAATATTTTCTGATAAGGCTTGCTTTTTAGGTTCTTGCTCAAGTTTCTAAATTTTTCATTTTCTGATTTCCCTCAGCTTGGATTTTTCTTATTGGTTTTATTTGACTTTCAGGTCTTGAACTGTTTTATCCATTTCCTTCTGCTGTTTGTGTTTTCATAGATTTCATTAAGGGGTTCATTCATCTCCTCCTTATGGACCTCTATCGTATCCATAAAGGCTATTTTAAAGTCCTTGTCTTATGCTTCAACTATGTTGCAATACCCAGTGCCTACAATGGTAGCATTGCTGGAATCTAATGGAAACATTCTGCCCAGGTTATTATTGATTGCGTTTTTATGTTGGCATCTAGGCATCTGGGTTTGGGAAGACTGGAATTCTAGGTTCTTCTATTTTGTCTTGTCTTTGTTGGGTATGTGTTCTATCCTTGGTTTTTGTTGCTCTCTGTGGTTCCTAGGAAAGTGTGGTGACTGGTAGGAAATTCTTCTTGAATTCTGGTAGGTGTGGCCATGGTGGAGATGGTTTTAGGTTAAAAGTTTCTGGGTACTGGGGCCTGGTAATTGGGAGTGGGGATGGCTTAGGTGGTCTACAGCACAGGGGAAAGGAGGGCTTCCACTAGGATCCTCTTAGTCTCCTGGGAAGGAGAACAGAGTGAGAAGAGGCCACAGCAGGGAGTCTACTCCAGAGCTAGAGGTGAGACTAGGGGATTGGGTTGGAAGGAGAGAAGGGATGGATGAAGATCCAATTAAACTACCTGCTTTCCTAGGTATAGCCTGTGGGTTCCCAGAGAGTGCCTGCTGGAGCAAGGGGCTAGAATAAAACAATGAGTGGGGTAGAAAAAAGTTTGGAGGGGAAGATCTGTGTGTTCTGCTATTTGTGGGAGCAGGGAAGGAGCAAGGCAGCAGCAGGTAGCCTGCAACAGAGCTGGGGTTGTAAAAGGAGGATTGGATTTGGAGGAGAAGAAAGAGAGGTGAAGATTTGAAGTTAGACTACTTCTTTCCCTGCCCTGTGAGTCAGACAATCCCAGAGAATGTTTGCTGGTTCTGGAAGCTGGGGTCATAAGATGGGTCAGAGGAAGGAAGGATGGAAGAAGAGGTCTTTGTGCTCTTTTGGAAGTAGGGTCAGAAAGGAAGGGGGCCTCAGTAGATGTTCTCCCTCAGATCTAGGGATAAGACTAGGGACTGGCACCTGTTTCCCTGGCCTTCGGGCTCCCAGGGCTCCACTGTCATTCCTAAAGTAACAAAGCTTCCCGCTGGCCTTGAGAAAATGATTTTCATAATTTGCAGGAATATTTGAGTTAATGGATAAGGAAAAGCATGCTGCAGGAACTATCCAAGTTATATTGAAATGGAAATTCACTTACCTTCCACCAAATGGATCAATAACTACTGAAGACCTTGGAAAGTTCATTTGCAGAGAAGAGCCAGAGGCCATTCAGAGACTACCTCCAACGTCCTCAGAAGTTACATCAGTTGTAGTGAGTAACAGTGACTTTTGATTGCATTTTAAATATTTTGAATATAAATTTAATAGCCAAATAATTGCACCCAAAACTAGCTGAAGTCTTCTTTAAAATGTGATGATTATAGTCTGACATATTGTTTTATTTTAGGCACCAAAACCTAAACCAAGACAGCGTTTAACACTTGTAGACAAAAAGGTCTCTTTTGTGGATACCATATCACACCCAAGTCCTGTAAGTAATAAATACCCCGAATACTAATTTCCCTTTCCAGTGTCAAGTACAGGAGAGTATAGACTATCCTATACCTTTGAATAAGCAGAGACAGTAAGCACAGCACATCTTTACTGTGGTACAAGGTTGTAGTGTTTGATAGGCCTTTCCATGACCCTAGATCCCTTTCCAGCTCCCCTCTGAGTGTCTTGATCTTACACAGTAAAACATGTATCTTGCTAAAACTACTCTTGTAATGAATACAAAATAACATACATGATTTTTTTCCATTAATTCAAGGAGACTTCTCCTTTCCCTAAAGATATAAAGGACAATTCTCTAGAAGTGGAAACAAAACCAGGAAATAGTATGCCAGCTGTTGCATATCCTTCCAAGGTATACCTTTGCATTAAAATTATTTTGAAAGGTTTATTTTGGGACTTAAAAGACTTTGTCTTGTGTGTTAGTCATGATTCAGGAAATCATAGCATTTTCCCTACATTTGAATATGACTTTTTTATGATAGATTTTTTTAACTGATAGGTTCAATAGATACGGCTATTCATATATTGGTAGGAAATACATACATTTATAAACTAAAACCAATGTAAAAGTCATATCAAGATTAATACATCTTTTATTGTTTTGTTTAATTTTATTGAAACAGAATTTTATGTATGCCAGGCTGGTCTCAAACTCACTGTATCAAAGTATCTATGGATGACTTTGGATTTGTATCCTCCAACTTCTGCCTCCATGTGATGTATTACAGACATGCACCACCACACCAGACTAAATCAAATCCTTCATTCTTAGTGTACATTTAGATTTTTATTAACCTGTGTGTTTTCATCTGTTTAAACAATCTAAGTGACTATTTTCTAGGGAGTCTTTTATAGCTGTGTAGCCTATCTCTGTGAGTTTTGCCGAGTAGTGATGATGGCTGTAGAGGTAGAGATGGTAGAGATGGTAATGGAAGTGGTGATGGAGGAGGAGGAAGAGGAAGAAGAGGAGGAGGAAGAGGAGGAGGAAGAAGAGGTGGTGGTGGTGGTGGTGGTGGTGGTGGTGGTTTAGAGACAGAAACTCACTTGTAGCTCAGAGTGGCTCAGAACTCACTTCTTATGCAACCCACACTGGCCTCATATTGTTGGATTCTTCTACCTCTTGAGTGCTGGGATTATTGACATAGGACACTATGCCCAGCTGTATGCCTGTGTAACCAAGTCTCGAATGTACATGATTCAAGTGCTTCAGCAAGAACGCTCTAAGATATAATCCAAGCAATAACAAATACAGCGATGTTCTTCTCTCCCACATGTTTCAGGAAAGTGGTGTAGCTAAGGTAGAAGACAACGTGGGGAAAATGCACCAAGGAAAGGAAGATGACATCTCTTTCCTATCTGAGGGCCAGCTTGCATCGCAGAGTGTGGCTTCCTCTGAAGATGAAACAGAAATAACTGAAGAACTGGAGCCAGAAGGTGACGTTTCTGTTAAGACTGTTGGTTACTTGACCCCACTTTGCCTTCTCTGTGACAGAAGTAGGTGAGAGCTCTTCAGGCTGTCGTGTTGTCTCTTTCTTCTTAGGTCAACTCGGGCCTCCTGCATAGAATACAAGTGTCATTGCTGAACCTGTCCCCAATTTATGCTCTAGACATTGTATATTGCCTTTAGGTTCAGTATTATCAGTTGGATTGTTCTTTAGCTTGGACTTTTTGAAATTAAAATCAAGAATTGCAACTTAAAAAAAGAGAATATACTATCTCATTTCAATTGTATAGAAGTAAACTAAACTCTGTAAGGACAGGAAGTAGGTAAGTAGTCTGGAAAGCCTTGGTGGGGTCAGAGGAGAGATTCCAGAGGAAACAGGACTGCTGTTTAGGTCCATTGCATTTTTTAAAGCATGTATTTATTTTGCATGTGTATGTACATGTATGCATGCTACACACACATTTGGAAGTCAAATAACTGCTTTTACAGGTAGGGTCTCTCCTTCCATGTAGGTGTCAGGTGTCAAATTCATTCAGGTCATGAGTCTTGGTGACAGGTACCTTTACCCACTAAACCATCTTGCTGACCCATATATGCTATTTTAATTGGGATGATAGTGCCACAGAATTAAATGTCAAATACCAAATTTTGTAGTTTAAATATGTATATAGTTTATTGTATATGTGTTTTCACCTTAATAGAACTGTATTTTTTCAATTTTTTAAAAGTAAGGGTAGTATCGATTTTTTACACAGTATTTTGTGTAAGCCATTGGAAAGTATCTGCTATGTGATAGCAGATATGGCTGGGCTACTGTGGAAGCTCAGGTGCTATATCAGCTGGGGCTGAGCATCAGCCTCCACTGACCACCCCCACTGTCTTTGTGCATCACTTACCCAGACACTAGCAGGTACCTAGTGCCCCTCAGACTTCACTACGAAGTTGATGAAAATTCATATGGCAACTTAAAAGAATGTGTAGGAGGGAAATGGAAGAAAGATGGTCTTTCTATAATTGATGACCCTACTGTAGGACCCCAGGAACTAGTTGAATCTAGCCTTGGATAGGTATCTTATGTCTCATGCTCAATTACATGCATAGAAAAGGGCTGGCTCTCACTGTATAGCTACAGCTGCAGATGGCCTGGTGACACAGTTTCACCAGCTTCTTGTTGAGGTGAAAACCAGAAAGACTTGTGGATGATATAGAAGACTTTATCACAGTGCAGTTTTGTTATAGAAGCACACCACTGCTATGGCATAGCCCTGCTTCCATACACTGTAAGATATATGCATGGCATGAGTGGTGATCTTATACCTTGGCACAGATAGATCCTTCAAACATACAGTGACTGATGAAGGAAAGAAAAAGTGAACATTAGGACATTCAGCTTCTCGTTGGTGTTGTTCACAATCTCATTGATAAATTTTCATCAGTAGTTAACCATGTTCAGATTTTTACTAATTTTTTTGGCTATTATACAAAGTAATGGATTTTCTCATTACATTTCCATGTCTATATGTCATTCATTATACCTTGCTTTCATTCATTCTCCTCCCCTTCCTTCAGTCTTTTCATATTTTTCCATCGAAATAGTTCCTGTTTTTAAGGAAAGAATAGTCCACCTTTCCTGTGCATGCATTAGCTATACTAGGTCTTGATTGTGTTCTCTACTTATGAATAAAGTCACACTTGAATGTTTTCTACCAGCATATATGGAAATTTATAAAACTGCTTCTAGTTTAAAAATACAATAGAACATTGAAAGTTTTTATAAAACAATTGGAGAGATTACTAAGCATAATAAAGCCCAGATATAAAGAGAAAAAGGAGGGACTAGAGAGATGGCTTGGTGGGAACAGGTGCTTACCACCAACCCTGAGAGCCTGAGTTTGATTCCCTGAACTCACATAATGCAAAAAGAGGATTGACTCCCAAAAGTTATCCTCAGACCTCCACACTTGTAGTGGCCCATGAAACACACACACACACCATACACACACACACATGCATGGGGGGCGGGGAGAGAGAAGAGAAATGAGGGAGGGAGAGAGAGAAGAGAGAGAATAGACAAATAAATAAAATTTTAAGAGAAAAAAGCAACATCTTTTACCTTATACCTCATTGGTTTTCATAACAATAACTTTTTATTTCTTTTTGTTTACTAAAATCAAACAGGAATTTTTCAGGTCATGTTTTCCTTTCCTAAAACATACATGAAATTGTCCTTGGCAGCTAAAAGTAATAGAACTGGTCATCGGATTGTTTATTTGTACTGTACTTATGTACAATACATAGATTGATTGGCTACCCTGGGTAAATGTTGCCTAATGTTTTCTGACAGATGAAGACAGATCAGCTTCAGACAGTGATGACTGTATCATTCCAAGGTCTGTCTCCACGAATACCAAACAGGTGAGTGGCTGGATGCCAGATACAGTGTTGTAAACTAAGGCTGACTTTCATTCTCGAATATCGGTCTTCGTAAATGGAAATTTAAGGCAAAAATATTTCTGGAAAAATTCTAATGTGTCTACTGCAAGACACCTGTACTAATACAATTTCTCTGTGTATCATATGTGTATGTGGACATGTTTATATGAAGGCACACGTTTGTGCATATGTGTAGAGGCCAGAGATCAACCTTAGGGGTCTTCCTCGGTAACTCTATATCTTATTTTTTGAGAGGTTTCTTTTTGAACCTGCCAATTTGGCCAGACTATCTGTCAAGCATGCCCCAAGGACCTTCCTGTCTCCATCTCCCCAGTACTGGGATTAGAGAATTGCACCGCTGGGTCAGCTGGTGCTTTTTTGTGGGATTATCAGGAAGCAAACTCAGGTTCCCATGCTTGCACAGCAAGCAGTAGCCTACTGAAACACATCCCAGCCCCGTCTTTACTTGTATTATGGAATGGACGGCAGTATATAGACATCATTTCTTTCAAGGATACCTGACACTGATAGCGTGATCCACCTCTTGGTTTTAACCATCCTACTTCTCTTCCAGTTTCTGTACATAAAGATGCATTAAAGCAGATCTGCATCTCAGAGAGTGCAACTGTGAGAGTGCAGTGAAACTATAGTAGCTTATCTACATCACTGCATGGAGTATTCAAATCTAAATATGTCTATTGATAAACTGTTATTTTACTTTTGACAAAAAATTTAATTATTCAGAAAATAATTAAACATGTCCAAGAATTTTTTGTTTTGTATCACATTGCCGAAACATAGTATATATACTAAAACAATGAAATGAAAATTATATTTCAAAATATAAATGGGAGATTTCTTGCATATAGAAGCATTTTTATCATGAAGAGAGGAGAAAGGTTTTATAAAGTCAATGTAGATAGCACCAAGCAGGTGTCACAGGCCTAAATTCTTAACACTCAGAAGAATGGGCAGGAAAAGTGCAAATTCAAGCCTGCCTACCTTCAAGAAAGAAACAAGGCGGTCAGATGGTCCGGGGGTGATGGATCCTGGATCCCACATGGTGAAAGGAAAAAACAGACTCCTGCAAGTTGTCTTAGCCACATACATGCCATGGCACATAGACACTCACATTCGTACACACACAAGAAATAATAAGTAACGAGTGTTTTTCAGGAAAGAGACAAGATCTATGGGTGTGGTTCAGTGGTCAAGCCTGGCGTTCAAGGCCTCCATCCCCATCACTAGAGCAAAATTGAGGAAAGCAGGGATGGAGGGACCCAAGGGAGGAGGAAGTAAAATGAAGAGGCTTGGCATTCTCTCTTCATCTGTATTAACACCCCTGGATATTTTATTTTTAGAATTTCTGCTTTATTGAAAAAAATCCAATACTTCATTTTAACTCCTCTTTCACATATTCTAAGCTTGGTATCTCTGTAAAACAAAGCCATGACCATAACATGTTTGTTATACTGCCTCCATGAAACAAAGATAGACTTTTGATGTATGTGTATGTGTTTGTGTGTATATATACACATGTGTGTGCATGTAGAGATCAAAGGCTGACATTGGGTGTCTTCATCACTCTCCACCTTATTTTTTAAGCATGGTCTCTCTGAACCTAGAGCTCACTGATAGACTAGACTGTTTGCCCAGTGACACCAAGAATCTGTCTGCTTGTGTCTGCCTCCCCAGAGGGGTCACAGGGACTTACTGCTGCAGTCAGTGTTTTACATAGCTATTGGGGACCTGAACCCAGGTCCTCATGATTACTCAGCCCCAGATACCTAGTATGTGTTTGATAAAGAAAAAAAATCTCATCTTTCTAAAGTTGCAATACTGTAATTAGTATATAATTACCACTTATATTAATATTGTCTAGCCTGTAGTAACCTAGTATATGGAATTTTCATTGTTCAAAATTGATAAATCAAAGAAGGAATTTTATATATGTTTCTCTGAGCAGTTTTAATTATAGTGCTCAGTTAAATTAAATTTAATATTTTTTCTTAATCAAATACTAAACTGTTAAATAATTTTATCAAACCAGTGAATGGAAATTCTCAGCCTCCCATTAGAACTGATAATAATATCATAAGGAAATAAGCTTTCTGTGTGAAGTTTGGTTTTATAGTCATAAGCAGAACTGACAGATGAATGGATGGACGGATGGACAGACAGATGATAGATAAAAAGAGATTTACTAAAAGATGTGGCTACTGTAATGGAGGTCTTCAGTCAGCAAGCTAGTGATTCAGATGAATTATGTATTGCCAGACTGAGTCAAAGGGCTAAGAACCAGGACATCCACTGGCACAAATTCTTATCTGAAAGCCAGCAGGCTCAAGAACCAAGAATCTCATCTGCTTCAGGGCCAGTTTGAAGGCCTGTCCATTTTGATAGCACACTAGCACAAGGAGATCCCACGTGTGGGGTGTGTGTGGGGGGTGTGTGTGTGTCAGAGAAAGAGAGAGAGAGAGAGAGAGAGAGAGAGAGAGAGAGAGAGAGAGATTTTTTGAGATAGAATCTCACTCTGTGGCTCTGACTATCCTGAACTCACTTTAGAGACCAGGCTGGCCTTGAACTCAGAGATTTGATTGGCTCTGCCTTCCAAGTGCTGGGATTAAAGATGTGCATCACCCTGCCCAACACGGAGCTCTTCAGCCTTTGGTGCCAGTATCCCTTCAACTGATTGAACAGAGCCCATTCACATTAGGAGATGAATTTGCTTTATTGAGTCTATCCAGATTTTAAGCTATCCAAGAGCACCTCACAGATACTAAGTTGTCAAGCCATGAATTATTTCACAACTATTATGAATTGACTAAATGTCTGGGTACCCTATGGCTTAATCAAGTTGGCAAATAAAATTAACCATCACAGCATTTCACTAAGAACCTTCCATTTGTCATGTCTAAATGCTTGATTTTTCTGTTTTATCTCAGTAGTTTATTCTGTAAGACAGTGCCTACTTCAGCCTGATTTTTTTTTGTTGCATAAGTGATTTAGTCTTTGAATACAAGAATATAAGAAATGAGATATTGAATCAGTACTGGATCTATGAGGACAGTAATGCAAGAATATATTTATCTCGTCAGTTTATAAATAGCACTCATTCCTCATGCTGTAAGCCAGGGATTCATTGCCTACCATGGTAGTAAACACAGTACAAGGCTCCTGCTTTTAGGGAAACTCTATACTGATCTAGAAGATGTGCTCATGTTCAGCCAACTATTAATAATTCATCAGTTAGATTGTAAATAATATCAAGAGGCCATATCAATAACTGAGTCAGTCAACACTTCTTTAGCTACTTTCTAGCCTACCTTCTCATTCTTCAAATGAGTAAACTGTGATCTTAAAAGAAAGAAACTGCCTACAGCCATTTCCCTAGTTAGGGATGTTGAAAGAAAGGATCAGTTTGAAGTGTTCTAAGATTAGAAATTTAGAAACCCTAAAGGACATGTATGCTGTGAGCTGGCACACCCTCCTCCTTCCCTTTTGGTCCTTTAGCTGACTTTATCTGTTTCATTTTCTTGTTGGTCAAAGACTGTCTGTCACATGAAAATGCCCATCCCAAGGGAAGAGCCCAGATTAGTCACATCTAACCCCTGGAGTAGACTCATTGTTATTATCACCCTGCGTCAGACAGTAAGGAGGGTCCTGCTGTAGCTGTGCCATCTCAAAGACAAAAAGAAATTGATATGCATGTGGAGTGCAGGAAGGAATTCGAGAACACACCACACAGCAGCCACTTTTTGAGAAGAAGGCCTTGTTTACAGTGCAGTGGAACAACAGATACTTTGGATGCTGACCTAAAGTAGACAACAGGGGCAGTGTGGCAGTTAATCTTACTTTCAAAACAGTATCCATCATCTTTAATTAATCTTGAATTCAGAGAAAAAAAGGCTTTCTACTTTTTACAATCCTAGACCATGAAAGGGGCACATTAGGAAATGTTTGGAAACATTGCTGATTGTTAAGAGGAACTGCGCCTGGCATTTCCTGGACAGAGGTCAGGGCTTAAACTAAACATGCTGCAATGTGCAAGACCCACAACAAACAGCTCGCCAATGTAATTGGCCAGTGCAGTTTCAATTTGCTGTCCCAAATACAGTTCATGGGGAAGTATTGAAGCTTCACCCTCGGGCAGCAGTGTTAAGAACTCAGCCTGAGGAGGTTGGCTGAGTCCTGAGGACTCTATGAATAAGATTAGCACACATCTAAAAAGGCAGAATGAAAGGGAGCACTTCCACTCCCTGCCACAAGAGAACTCAGTGTTCCTCCTCTGCAGGACACAGCATCAAGGCATCATCAGACACAGAGCAAACACCAGACCTTGACCTTGAGCTCCTAACCCTTTGGAACTGTGCAAATGGTTTCAGCAATTATAAATGACCCCATCTGTAACATTTGTAAAAATGGACTAAAAAAGTAACGTGCATACCTCCTATTGATTATGTCATTTTTTTCTGAATGCTACTTTAGCAAATCATTTAATGTGAAAATGGAACCTTTTAAAACTGTAATGATTACAAAACTCAAAGGCAATTGCATCTCCTTTATCCAGGTCTACATATTGTTGGCATTTTGCTGCATTTGTTTTGCCCTTTAGTCTCTTACATGTGTGTGTTAACATATGTGTTTGTTTATAATATATAAATACATCTTTTTGTCTATAGAACTTCTAAGAACCATTTCAGAACTGGAAACAAAAAACAAAAACCTGGCCTTTGACCTCTAAGAACTTCACAGGAACAAGAGAATGTTGTTACGTGATTCTGAGTACCTAAGATAAAACAAACTCTGTTCCTCCTACTGCATTCTCATCTGTAATTATATGTTTGTGAGGTTTCCCCATACACCAAGTACAAGAAACATCAGATCAATGACCTCTAATTTGCTTCAGTTCTGACAAATCTATAAGCCATATCAGAAGCTACAATTCAAGGGAACAGTCTCTCACAGGACTGAACCCTCAT